CTAGTGCTGTGTTTGTATAGGCTACAATCAGTTAGTACTTATTCTAGTTATCTTTTAGAAAGAGGGCCTTTTTTAGAACCTCCCTTCGGTTTCATATCTCAGAACCTATTAAAGGACTTCTTGTTACTGTACATCATTTTGACTTTCCCACTTGCATGCATCTTGTGGTATGTCATGCAAGATGGAAAAAACTCAGGTTTGGGAGGAACTGATTAATATACCTTCCATTTTTAAAATGGGACTACCATTGATGGTGTGTTAAGGGTTGTTGACTCATGAAGAGAGTAGCATAAGAGAACTCTCGACTCATCTAGATAATTTCACTCCGTCCTCCAGTGCTTGCCATGCACTTATAAGGAAGGTCAGTTTTGAATCTTGTTTTATATATTGTAACATCTTTGCATAGTATTTGAAAAAGGAATCTTGCCACTTAAACATGTTGGGAAGTGATGATCCTGGTCAGTGGTGGTGGTATTTTTCCAACATGCATAACTGATACAAGTAAAGGTGTATAAATGAAGATCAGGGTTGGGGGGCGGACTGGGTTTTCTGGATGGAAATTCTCCTTGGTGGGCAAGTATGTGATGGCCCACACAGAAGCACATTTTTTTATTTATTTGTTGAAAGATATCGCCCCACCTGTTAGTCAAGACGGATGAGTGGCTTACAAAAATGCTTTGGCTTCCTCTTAAATTTAAACCTTTTTAACAACAATCACATCTCTTTAGCAGACTTAAGAAAGGTTCACCAGGTATCCAAATAATGTTAACCAGAGAGAATCTGCCAGCAGGAGGCAGTAGAAGAGCATTGCAACTTCTCCTAAACTCCTTCATAATGTGTAGGTGGCACATGCAAGAGAGTCTCAGATATGCTTGTTTTACACCATACACTTCTGCCTGATAGCTAATTATAGAAAGTTTATTGGAGCACCTGGTTGCTTTTAGAAGCACCCACACCTCCCTGTTGGCAACTGAGTTGTAGGAACGCTAGCTACTATGAAGGTGGCATCAAAATTGGTGTAAGTTACACGATGGCTTTGTCCAGAGACTCTTCAGGGAGTCTTTTCTTGCAGGTGTGTTATAGATTTACAGTGGTACCTTGGGTTACATACACTTCAGGTTACAGATTCCGCTAACCCAGAAATAGTACCTCGGGTTAAGAACTTTGCTTCAGGATGAGAACAGAAATCGTGCTCTGGCGGCGTGGCGGCAGCAGGAGGCCCCATTAGCTAAAGTGGTGCTTCAGGTTAAGAACAGTTTCAGGTTAAGAACGGACCTCCGGAACGAATTAAGTACTTAACCCGAGGTACCACTGTATGGGTTTACCTTGAGGCTGTTTAGGACATGAAACCACCTAGTCTATTTTTCAGTGTGCAAATGCAAATCTCCTGCAAAGAATGTTGGTAAAAATGCGAGGAAGGTTGGTGTTTAATCCCAGTGTTTCAGAAAGCAGCTGATGAGGTGGTTACAAATGAATTTGCCACGGATGTGAATCCTGAACCAGATACTTAACACAGGGCTACAACGCTGCATTGACTCTTAAGTGCCAGTATGTCAAGTGAGCCAGTGTAGCGGTTAGTTTTGGGCTAGAGCTAGAGACACCCAGGATCTAATCCCTTCTCAGCCATGGAGCTGGTTATGAAGGTAAAGCAGGGCATCACGGGGAACCTATGGCTCTTTAGGAGATTACAATTTCCAATTCCCACCAGCCCCAGCAAGCATCACCAGTGGCAAAGGAGGGTGGAAATGGTGGTTAAACAGCGCCTGAAAGGCCACAGGTTCCCCATCCCTTAATGCTAAATCATCTTGAGCTCTCTGGAAGAAGGGTGGGATATAAACTTTGTAACTAAATGTCAATATAAATAGGTGTTTGTTTAATAAAAAAAACCTGAGTTGCAACAAAATAGGTTTGGGAGGTCAGCGCCTAAACTGCACCATTGATCCTACATTATAGTGTTGTAAAAGCATACAATTCATCAGACTGGGACCTTTGTGTTCCCTTTCATTACTTGAGATGGATCCAAGTGTAATCCAGCCTTGCTGACACATATAAAGTTACACCTTCTCTGTCCTTGAGGCTCTGATGTAGTTTTAGCAGTTGGTCTGCTGGAATGAATTGCTGCTACCTCAGAGCAAATTATCGACTTCAAGGTTGGAGCAGTGCAGCCCTTATCACTTATGCATATCTCATTGGAATAGATCAGTAGTCTTCAGACCTGGGACCCGCCTTTAACCCAAACATGTATTGAAGCCATTTCTTAATTCTCACCACCGCCACTATATTTGTATGAAGTTAGCACTGCTATTGCAACCATATAGAAGGTCCCAACCCACCAGTTGAATATCAGTGATGTAGAATATCTCATTTGCCATCTTGAAGCTATCCTGCAAGAATCATGAATAGCTTTTTAACTGCTCAGTTCTATATTTCAAGTCATTTCTCCCTCTCACATACTCAATACAGTGGTACCTCGGGTTACAGACGCTTCAGGTTACAGACTCCGCTAACCCAGAAATAGTACCTTGGGTTTAGAACTTTGCTTCAGGATGAGAACAGAAATCGCACTGCGGCAGCAGTGGGAGGCCCCATTAGTTAAATTGGTACCTCAGGTTAAGAACGGACCTCCAGAACGAATTAAGTTCTTAACCCGAGGTACCACTGTACTCGGTTTTAAGGTAATTGCAAAAAAAAGCAAAGGAAAAAAAAAGAAAAAAGCAGTGGTTAGGATGAATCCGGGATAAATTCACTGCTGCAGACTACGTACTAGAAGCATGTAACTGAAGTGTTAACCAGTGTGGCAGAAAGTCTCACGCTCCTTTGCAGTTCTCTAAGCAGCTGTCTTGAGGTAGCTTATATCTTAACAGGAAACGATTTGGCAAGAGTGAAACAGCTAAATGTGTTGGGAGTCTAAATCATGATTGTGTCAGAAGTTCAAAAGAGGAAAAATTGAGGGGTACCTATATTGGGCCAGCTCATTTTACCTAACACTGTACTTCTAAGCCTTATATATTGCTTGGAGATTAACTTTTATAGGCTCCTGTACCAAGAAATAAGAATTTCCGAGGCACTCCTTTCACTGCTTTATCTTAACTTACTGAATAAAAGAGCAGTTAACAAGAAGGATTAAGTAACTTGAGCAAATGGAATGTTAAAGGTGAAAATCTCACCTGCAGAAAACACTAAAACTCTACAGGCCTTACACACTTACAATGACTTAATTTGGAACTCTGCTAAGAAGCCAAAAGGTGAAATCAGAGAGCAATAATCCACTGTTTTTATTCTGGGAATCTTTACTCCTGAGCTCTCGGGAAACTGTATAGTGGTGTTCCCTGCCTGGGACAAAAATGCCTTTACAAAAGCCAGCGTCTTTCAATGCAAGCATGACTTTTTAGCATAAAGGAACTCGTTAAGAGAAAAAATATACCTTAAGACATTAATACAATGAACAGTGTTGTGCTTACCTGGGAAAATGCAAGTGCCTTCCTAATTCTGCTTGGGTTGGGTTTCACACCATGTACATACAGATGTTGCTGTACATGATGGAGCACAGTGGGAGGATTTCAGCGTCACACTAAGGTGATCGTTTAGTCAGGGCAAGCATTTTGGATTGCCGTACTGAGCAGTCTCTCTTCTCCCCCCCCCACTCTTCCAAGGGTTCGCCTGACTTCCTGAGCCAGTTTTGGGGTGGGGGTGGGGGGAATAGAAGGTTTAATACCAAGAGCACATGGGTTGTATTCAACATAGTGCTAAGGCAAGCGTTCTCCTTGCATAATGGGATGTTCTCTCCTCTTCGCCCTGCATCCTCCCAAATCTGTCCTGGGTTCCCACACCCCACCCCTCCACAGCAGATTTGGGGATAGTGCGGGGGGCAGGAAGGGGAAGTCCTGTTGCCCTAGTGGGCATCCTTGCAAACGTGTGCAACTATGCCATGACCCATACAACAGGGACTCTTAATGAATTTCAGTGGTTGCTAATCTACCACTGAACCAGATTCAAGGTTGCATTGTGGACATGTTTGGACTAGTTCTGTTTAGATTTCTTTTTAATTTTTAGGGTACAACTTTTGTTAAATAATGCCCAAATGGCTTGGGGCCCAGTTTACTTCAGGAACACCTCTCTTCTAACATCTAGCCCATGAAATGAGATCTGCTGGGGGCGGAGAGCCCAGCCTAAAGGAAAAATGAGGGATCAGTTGTCCACCTGAAGGTTTTCTTAACAATATCTCCCTGGCTGGAGGGTAGGCTGGTGCCAACATCATACACGTTTTGGTGCTGCCTGAAGACCTGTTTTCTCAGATTGGCTTTTAAAACCAGTAACAGATGCCTGTGTACTGCGAAGCTTTTGCTATTGTGTTATGTATGCATTTGTTGTAACTTGTCCTAGGGCTTTCCAACCAAGTACAGGATGTAAGTTTTAAATAATAATAAAGTGTAGGAAAAGGCAGATTGACAGTGTTGCTCTGTACATCAAAGAGGACATCAGTCTAGAATCCAACAAGCTATAAATTCTGGATTCGGGCCCAGTTTGGAGCAAGCTTCCTTAGTCATGCTGGATGACCTAACCAAGAAGTGGACAGAGGGAATGATGGGTGCTTCAAGAGTGAAGTCTACAGGCTCCCTGAAATGAAATGAAACTTTGTGCAGAAAAGTGTTCAGAATATGTTCTAGAGTGAGGCTGTGATTAGTTGTTAGTATGAACTTTTAATGATTAGGATAGGCAGTGCTGCAATGCCAGCATCAGCCTGGAGATAAGTACTTATCATCCAGAAGGGGTAGGACAGAGGCTTACCTTTTGTGGACAACAATTAGAGCTAAAATAGTAAAATCTCTATACTTGGCCCTCACAGCGATGTTAAGTTTGGCACTTGGGTGTGTATCATATGAGCAATACATCCTGAATGCAGTGTTAGGAAGGTAGACAGTCTCAATATAATCAAGCCTGGGTACTCTATTGTTGATGAACAGTGATGGGACATTCCCCCCCCCCTTCCTTTTCTTTAGACAAACCTTCCTATTTTCAAATTGAAGGAGTCTTGTGTCAGGCGAAGATACAGTGACTTTGAATGGCTTCGAAGTGAACTAGAAAGAGAGAGTAAGGTAAGGCAAAACATTTTCTTGGATACAAAGGTGTTGTGGCACTGAAAAGGGTTACACTGGGCTGTTAAGTAATGTGGTCTCAGTGGTGGTAGTAAGGATTGCCAACTCAGTTCTGGAATTTACTGAGACCCGAGCACAGGCCATTCTGAATCCTTGCAGCTGTGTTTAAGCTTGGCACTTCTGTGCATCCCATATTAAATCAGCCATCCATCTTCAGTGCCATGTCTAAGGGAAAGGTACAGCCCATGTACTCCTAAAACAAATTTTCTAGGCACTGTATTAAAAGTTAGATGCTCTCTACATAAAATAAGCAGTCTGTTTTTCAGTGTGTTAGTAATTTAGATCACAACTGTCTTTCAGGTTGTAGTGCCTCCCTTGCCTGGAAAAGCTTTTTTCCGCCAATTGCCTTTTAGAGGAGACGATGGGATATTTGATGACTCTTTTATAGAGGAAAGGAAGCAAGGGCTTGAACAATTCATAAACAAGTAAGTGCACTGTTCTATTTCTTGAGTTGCGTAGAAATGTCAGTTGTGTAAAGGCAGCCACATTATACAAGCTTACATCTGTCATTGGCTCCAGTGGGTTTAGCAGTGCAGTTGCTCTCATACCACGCAAAGCTCAGTTCACCTTTTTAAATGCTCCTGAACTACTTTCAGGGTTGAACTAGCATCTAAGCGCTATCAGCATCCAAGCTGAACAGTGTACAAATGCTTTAACATTTGCTGCAATGATTGAAGTATTTGTCGTGACCTGGGTTTTGTTTCAGTTTTGCTTAATTTATGCAAATTGCTAAAATTACAGCATGTAAAGATAGAATCATACAAATAAGGCTGGGGGGAGGTGGGGAGGGGCTGCGATTCATCAGCTGGAACAGTTAGCTTACAATCTGACTACGCAGCCTGAGAAGCTGATGCTCGTAATGTGGCAAAATGGTTTTTACACATAGCCTTGGCTAGGGTGGCCGTCTCTTCAGATTTGCTTACTGGAACAGTTAAGCCTTGGCTTCCGTATTAGGTCAGAGGGGACAGGGACTGGAGTTGCATGGTAGTTTTGCCTCCTTGGCAGTTGCCTATAGGCTATATAACAGGTAGTTGGGAATGCATTTTTCACTTGCTTCTCCATCCTGCTTTCTGAAACTTGCCTATTTTAAGGCATCTGGATATGAACTATTTTATTTTGCTGGAAGAAGGCTGGGCCTACTACTGCCCAGTTCTCCTTTGATTTATTAGAGGGAGGATGACCAGGATTGGTTCCATAGTTCCCCATCCCATTTTGCTTCTTGGAACCAATCCTGGTCATCCTCCCTCTAATAAATCAAAGGAGAAGATAAACGTTATCAAATCAAACACACAGTTCTGAAAGTCCAGCTCATTTGGTAATAACGTATTTGGACACGATGGTCACCTTTAATTGTGCATGGACTTTATTTGCATATAAAATAGGAATATGAGAATGCTTCTCATTGTCATTTTAGTACTTGTCCCAATAGCTTCATAATTGCAGTTCAATGGCATGAAATTTGTGCTTAGGACATTGGATTAGACAGTGGCTGCAGTCACACAGGCTGTTGATTCTGTTTTCCTGACATTTCCCTAACTGTTAATTTCCACATTATATTTGAGCTTTCACAGAATGTCAAAGCCACTTCCAGAAATACAGTGAAATATTGCTGAGGTTTTCATGTTATTTGCAAACAGATTGCTTCCAGGGGGGGAAACTTGTTTGCAAATGACACAGGAATTGGCACTAAACTTGACATACCTTTTTGGATGTGGCTTTTATCTTGTGGAAAGCTCCAATATAACATGGAAATTAGAAGGAGAGCGTTGGGAAAATGGAATAAACTGCTGTGGGAATGCGGCCTGTCTCTAGTGAAGGGAATTTGGGTAGCAGGACTTGGGAAGGGTTGTCTGACTTGACAGCGCAGAGTCTGAAAGCAATTGACAGTGCTAGGCAAGATGGGCCAGTGATCTTTTCATAGCTGGCTTCTATCATCCATGAGCTCTCAACATCTCAGATGGCATCCAGTGGCTGCATGAGGGGAGTGGCAGCTTTTGTAAGCAATCTTTCCCTCTCCAAAGTCAGGTGGACCTACTGAATACTGCGGGCTGAGTGGGAGGTGGAGGAGATGTGAAAGAAAAAGATTAGTTGCACAGTTGAATACAGCCCCAGGTTTTTTGATACCTTCTAAGACTGTCTTTAACTTGGCAGCTGTTTCTTGTGAAAGTAGATTTGCTGCTGAGTCTGCATATAGGATGTGCTCAAAATTTCAAATGGCTAATAATGTCATTTGCTCTATTCTCCTTGAGGGTGGGGGAGGGTACATTAGAGTCCTACCACAGACCTGCCCCCCTTAACCTTTGTCAGGAATGATGACTTGTTTGCAGTATGATCTCTCTGAAAGCAGTCATGCTGATAGGATGCTAATTCTGGTAACTGGTGGGTGGGTGGTAGCCCATTAGCCGTTGGTGGAGTTGTTTAAATGCCACTTAAGAGAGGGGAGAGTTTGATTTTTGTTGTTGTGGGGTATTTAAAAGCAAGTCTAAATTGGAAATCTTCCTGAAAGTTCGGGGTGGGAGAGTGGTTTTTAAAACTGGAAGTCTAATTTTTTTTATTCTCAAATTCTAGAGTTGCAGGCCACCCCTTGGCGCAGAACGAACGCTGTCTTCATATGTTCTTGCAGGATGAAGTAATAGACAAAACCTACACGCCCTCCAAAATAAGACATGCTTGAATGCTGCACAACTCTTTAACTGGCATAAATGTTAGTGGTGACATACTTCGTCTAAGATATGTAGTTTAAGGTTTTTAGCATGCTGCAAACAAACTGGCACCAGAAGCCTTCGATATACTAACAGCACTGCGTGTTCTTTGCATTGATCTTTATGGCATTAAAGAACTCTAGGTAAACCTGCTGTCAGACTGTTGATTAAATGGCTTTTAAAAATCTCAGTATTTTGAAACTCTTCCCTTCTTCCTTTTGCAATGACCCTTGTGGTGGTTACTGACTCAGCCTTACTCGAACTTGCACTGTTTATGGTGTCGCACGTTCACTTTTCTTTGATTTTAAACACTAGAATATTTCTGTACAACAACTAGTATTCAACCTGCAATTTGGTGACTAACATGGTGCATTGTATTCAATACCCCCTTGTATAAAATAAGCACTTCTGTAGTTGTATCTTTAAGCTTGCGAGGGGCGGGGTGGGGGTGGGGCAGCCTTTGTACTGAGAAGCAATGAGGGAGCATTTCTTTATATTGTGTAAAAAGAAAACAGATTTGTATACTAAGAACATTTGTCTAAAAGTTGTTTTGAAATAAAAAGTAAAAATGCACTTAGCATGTCCTTCCTGCTATGATGGGAAAAAATAGTCCTTCTCTCTACACCTTGGGCTGGCTTATCTCCCTGGATAAATGCCCCACTGCACTGTGTTTTATGCTGGCTGTACCTTCTACTTAAGTAAATGGTTCTGAATTACTTGACTTCATTCAGCTTGAAATACTAAAACTCCCATTGTAAGTTACAGTCCTATGTGTTATTGTGTTATTGCTTCGGGGCAAGTCCTACATAAATCTTTAGGACTCCCGAGTTAACAGGGATAGGATTGTTGGTTTCCTCCATATGGTCGCGCAGTTACAGCTTATGGAGTACTGAATCAAAATTATAGTACTCCTTTCTCTTACTCTGGGTAACAATATTCAGTGTAAGCTAGAATCATCATTCTATAGCTCTGAAGTCTAATCTGAACGATTAATTGCATCCATTAGTATGTCGATGATTTCCTTGAACTTAACATAGCTATCCCTTTGCAACACTCCCATGTCCTAGGATCTAACCACATAAGAAGCCAATCTGTAGGTTCTGTCTACATGGTGAACCAAATTTTAATAGCTCTCAGATGTGTGTGTTTTAACAGCTATCAAGTGTGCCATGGTGGAAGGCAACCCATGTAGGGTTGGAATCAGGAGTAACCCTTCACATTATTTTTTTTAAAGCATTAATACCTGGCCATTCCTTTAATTCTGATGAAAAAGCAGCAGCAGAGCTTCACTCCAGAACATGTGCCATTCCAGATGAGTACTAACACTGGTTTACTGCTAAAACTTTCCCCATTCCTTGAGGGCATTTGCCGTAGACAATAGGACTGCTCAAGAGGAGCATAAAGTCAATGCAGGGCCCCACAAGGGGTTTTTCTCTAAAGTTGTCAGAATAAGCACACTATTTAAAAAAAAGCATGACTACCATGAATAGCTTTGCCTTCCAGGTTCATTACACTATGTATATAATACTGTCTTGCATGCCAGTTTATTTCAGCAGTATGAGCTAAGATGGTTTTTCTAGATAGTTTTAAATCTTCTCTTGTAAATACTCCTCTGCAGCTCTAGCTGAGGCCCAACTAACTTTCATCACAGTTATGTATTTACTATTTTCTATGTGAGATGCTCAAGTAATGCTTATTGGTGGGTAGCTATATAAATTAGTGGAGCAGAAGAACTACTTCTGAAGGAACTACTCCAGTGGTGTTAGAATGGTGCTGTAGGCATCTTTTTGAAATATACTTGAGGAACTTAGGCAGTAGCTGCTTCTTCACCTTCTAAGGCGATATTTGTGTTCAGGCACACTTAGCATGGAGGGACAACATTAAGTACCGAGGTGCTGCTGTAAGCCTCCTGTACTATCTACAACCTTGTGTGATAAGGTCCTAAATTGTACTGGGAGCCTACCCTTCTGTAGCAGGCTGCGCACAGTTGCCATGGGCATGTGGGATGGAGCTCTGTGAGACGGGGGGATAGGACTAAAGGCAAAGCTCCTTCGGACTTCTGTTGCCCCTTCATGCAAGCAATTGCTCAATAGGGCAACTGCAACTGCAGGTAACCTTTGGCCCTCTAGATGTTGCTGAACTGCAACTCCCATCATCCCTGGCAGTTGCTAATGGGGACTGATGGGATCTGTGGTTCAGCAATATCAGAGAGCCAAAGTCCTCCACACCTGTTCACTTTTAAATAAAACATAGCAGTATACCGACCCCATTATTATTTTTACCTGTTTCTTGGAAATTGCACCATCAGTGGGGAGTAATGTTTAATCAAAGGCCATAACATTTTAAACTTAATATATTTTTTATTCTTTGTAAATACAATGAGTACAACCTTAACTTCACAAATCAGTTAATCCATTTTTGTACAAGAGAAGTTTTACTCATTCTATGATACTTCAAGTGCTGGTTCTCCTTTCTCAGTGCTAGTTCCTAAAACAAATAAAAACTTGAAAAGTACAGCAGTTATCTTTTAATTCCCCCCTACATTTCCATAAGTGTATTCTCATCAAATTAAGCAGCTCATAATATGTGTGTTTTGTGAGGAGTGGTGAGAGAGAGAGACTTTTATTAGAACCCGGACTTTTCTAAAAAGCCACTAGTGTATTAGGTTTGTATTGATCAACCATCCTTTTCTTTCATTGTAAGACGGTTCAAAACTGTTTTTATTATAAGTCAGGTACCTTTTTTGCACATCTCATTGACAAAGAGTTTGACCACCGTTGCCTTTGGTTTCAGCACTATGCCAGTGGGACAGCTATTAGTTCGCTGTATCAATCCTCTCCTTTTTCTTTTATTTGGTTTTGCTGTTTAGTCTTCGCTTAACATGCATTTTTTAAAAAGAAAAGAAAAACAACTTTTTATTTAAAGCTCTTTTGTCTGAGATGGTAATCCGAACTGAAATGTTGGCCAGACTTAGACGTGAAGTCCACCCCTTCATGTGTTTTTTTTTTAACAAGGAGGCATAGCTTATTGAATTCAAAAGGTATTTGCTGGCGTACTTCTTAAAAATCCATGATGAAGGCCACTTTTATTATTACGTTACAGATGAAGCAAATGTTTCTATAACCTGGTATTCAGTGTTGCCTCTCATATAAAAAGCATTCACTTAAACAAGCTACTTTTTAAAAAACAAAACCATTTTTGAAGGCCACCTCATGACACATGACGACAGAACAATGTTTGGTTACCCCATTTTTCAAAGTATGAAGAAACAACAACCCTAAAGGACCTTCTTCTTTACCTTGTCACATCTGCCAACTAAATGGCAGACTAGCACAGCCTTTGTTAACTATGAATGACAACTGAATTGGCTCCACCGGGAGAAGCAGCAGCCAAGTTCATTCTACAGCAGGTTTTTCCGTGGAGCACAGTATTTCCCCACCCACATCCCCAAGGACTTAAAGTTGCTCTGTTCAAGGCTGCAAAACCATATCTATTGGGTGTATTTTGTCACTAGGTTAAAACGTTTCCAGGCTCCAGCTTCTTGTAGAGTTTGTTAGCTGAGGCTTGCTCTCCATTGATCAAGAAGTTCTTCAAAAATGGTGACCCTGATCATTCTCATTTGCTCCCCCCCAGGTCAGTCTAGATGTCACTGGATTTGTACATATCTGAAAGCAGTCTTGTGATTGGCACATTCCCAATGGTTTTTTTGAAAAATACTTCTTCTATTGTGGAGGGACTAATCGAACGTAAAGCTGGCAAAAGCAACAAGAGTTTCCCGAAGCGACAGGGCTGTGTGGGGTACCTGGAAGGCAAGCATGAGAGTTAATGCTATGGGATATAAATAACACTCATAATATTTTTTATGCTGTTGATTGCCTTCGTGAAAGCCAACAATCAAAATGCCAACAAAATAGAATAAGAAATCTGAATGTGGTAAAGTGCAAAGGTGGACAGACTTCAGGCTTGTAGAATCTATTTTTTTATTTTATTTACTAGAAATCAATCAGACTAATATACACAATAGTAACTCATGGGATAGATACACATTAGAATTACAGTTATGGGCACCTCTGAACACACGATCAGCCCAGAAATTTGCAGTACCAAAACTGCTCCCCAGTCTTTTCTGCCCACAATGCCATTCCAGTATTCTGTCCCCCCTTCTTTGTTTCAGCAGCCTAATAAGAGGAGGGCTTTTTGCTGTTGATATCAGAAAATCGGGAATTGGAAACCCTTGCCAACCTACTACAAATCCCAGAGATCTTCCAGTAGATTTCAATTTATCTGCTGCCCACTGCTGGTATAGTGGATGGAGTGAATGCTGGACTGGCTCAGATCTCTGTGCAGCCATGAGGTCCTCCCATTTGAAATCAGTGGGATTGGTTACTTGCAGAACTGTAGCTTGATTCTACACTTTGATGATGTAACATGCTCCCCCCACCACCACAAAAAAATCAGTCAAAATTCTAAAAATATAAATTTTCACCCACGAAAGCATTCCAAAACTCAACAAGATTGAAATTCCAGGCTAAAGCCAGCTCTCATTTACACAACAGATTAAAAGCCACTTCACAGAAGCAAAGTGTCTTAAAAATGCTAATACAGTTGTACCTTGCAAGTCGAACGGAATCCGTTCCGGAAGTCCGTTCGACTTCTAAAACGTTTGGAAACCAAAGCGTGGCTTTGGATTGGCTGCAGGAAGCTCTTGCAGCCAATCGGAAGCCGCGGAAGCCCCATTGGACATTTGGCTTCCCAAATAGTTCGCAGACCGGAACAGTCACATCCGGGTTTGTGGCATTCGGGAGCCAAAACGTTTGACTTGCAACGTTTGGATCCAAGGTACGACTGTAATCCGATTGTGAAGAGAGAGAAGCTTTCTGTGCTGTTGTTGTTTTAAATTCATTTTGTTTCTCAGCAGGTATTAAACATTACGCCCTTTATTTCTCTTCCCCATTTCATCTGAATTATTTGCCTGGGATGAATAAACTTACTGCAGGTACAGCAAATTAAGAGCTTGGGAAAAAAATGTATTCAAATCTAGTGTCCTCACCTAGTATGAATGTAGCTGTTCAGGGTGAGCTGAGCTTCATCTTGAAGAGCTGCAATGGCCGCAGCATTTCTAAAACTTCTGAGTTCAGAACCGCTATGCGTAGGTACTGAAAAGCAGATTGACCACTCTTCACTTATTAATCAGAACAGTCAATATTAACTCGATGCCAACTAATGTTACACTTCACCACTTAACTCCATAGCACCACCTACAAGCATGAAGGCACATCTTGGTGATTCCATTTCACTGCTTATGGCATTCTACAGTTTCAGTTTGTCAACATGTGTCCCACCCTGAAAGCTCCCACAAATTTTAATAAGTGTAAAGCAGTGTCATATTTTCAATTACCAGCATTAAACAGATGAGAACAACACTGTTACTTGTTTTCATTTCAACCTCCAATGGCCAACCAAATAAAAACCCTGCGGACTTCCTTTGACAAGATACTCAGGCTTGGGCCTTAGTGAACATTAAAGGGCTGAGAATATACTGGAATCCAAATATGGTGTGTGGAAGGCAGCAT